TCCTCTGGGCCAGGAGCAGCAGGACAGAAGGTGGCTCAAAAGCCCTTTCCTCTGGGCTGGGAGCAGCGGGAGGGATGGTGACCGTGAAGTCCCTTCCTTTGGACCAGGAGCAGTGGGAAGATGGCTCAGAAGCCCCTACATCTGGGCCGGGAACAGTGGGACTCAGTACCTTGGTCTGGTGGTCTGGTGTCCTCTGCGCCTTTGTAATGTGGAATCAGGTGGCTGCCTGTCTGCAGTGTGGTGATTCGGTGTCTTCCGTGTGACTCAGGACTTCGGTAGGGCATGCACAGACCTGCCTGTCTGCAGCAGGCTGATTCGGCGTCTTCTGTGTGACTCAGGACCTCGGTAGGGCATGCCAGATTCTTCCATTTAATACAATTTTCTCCAGGTTCTTCTATGTTGTAGCACATATTAGAATTGTATTCATTTTTGAGGCTGAATATTGTATGTGTACATGACATTCATCAGTTGATGGAAATTCAAGTTGTTTTCCTTTTTGGCTATCATAAATAACACAATTATGAATATTCATATATAGATTTTTGTATAGACATATGTTTTAATTTTTTCTTAGGTATGTTTTGCAAACATTTTATCCCACTCTTTTAATTTTTTTAAACAATTTTTTCTTTTCCTGTACTGGTGATCAAACGCAAGGGTATTCTACCACTGAGATACATCCCCATCTCTTTATTTTTTAAAATTTTGAGACAAGGTCTCACTAAATTGCCCAGGCTGGACCTTGAACTCATGATTCTCCTGCCCTCAGCCTGGGATTATAGGTATGGGCCACCACACCTGGCTATCTTTTGAAGGACAAAAGTTTTAAATTTTGGTAAAGTCCCCCATCAATCCTTTTCTTATGTGATTTATATTTTATGGGATCTTTGCCTAATCCAAGGTCACAAAGAATTTCTTATGCTTTTGTCTAGAAGTTTTATCCATGTTTCTTATTTTTAGGTCTATAATCCATTTCGAATCAATTTTTGTATGTGGTGGGAGGTACAAATCAAGTTAATTTTGCCCGATTTCAGCACTTTTGAACAATTATCATTCTATCTTAGCACCTTTGGCAAGAATCAATTGACAATGTGTGTTGGTCTTGTTTAAACTCTTAATTCTAGTTTCTTGACCTGTACATCTAGTCTCATGCTCAGCATAACTCTTGACTACAGTAGCTTTATAAAAATCAGCCTAGAAACCATGTACTGTAGTGTATATCCTCAAACTGTTCTTTTTCAAAATTGGTTTGCCTATTTGAAGTTTTATGCATTTTCATATAAATGTAAAATCTGCCTGTCAGTTTCTAGAAATATGTGGCTAAGAATTGTGATTGTAATTGCATTGAATTCCAGTAGAGGCCTTTGGGGGAGAACTGATACCTTAACGAAAGTTTTCTGATCCATGAACACAGAATCTCTCTCCACTTGGTTTGCATCTTCAATTTCTTTCACAAGATTTTGAAGTTTTCTATGCACAGGTTTTGATTGATTTTTGTTAAATTATCTCTATGTATTTTTTAATTTTTGATGGTACTGCCTTTTAAAGTGTCAATTTCCATCTTTATTTTCTACATAGACAACAATGTTGTTTGCAAATAAGCACTGCCTGCAAATAAAGGCAGATTTAGTTCTTTTTGTTCCAATCTGTATGCCTTTCATTTACTTTTGTCATAAATGGGTGAGATCTCAGCTCCATGTTTAATAAAAGTGTGAGTTGACATTCTTGCCTTGTTTCTAAGTCTAGGAAGAAAGCACCTAATCTTTCATGATGAATATGAGTTGTGAGACTATTGTAGAAGCTTTTTATTGGATTGAGGGTTCCCTTCTATTCCTAGAGTGCTCATCATTTTTATGACTTGGTGTTGAATATTTTCCTTACTTCTTGTATACCCATTGAGATGATTTTCATTTTACTCTGTAAATGTAGTTAATTATACTAATTGATTTTTGAATATTCAGTGGATCTTGCAATCTTGGGATAAACTCAGTTTTACTGTGATATATTTTCCTTTTGATAAACTGCTTATAATTTCCTAAAAATTGTCAAACACTTTTTGCATCTATTTTCATGAGGGATATTAACCAACTATAGAAATGATCCCTGAAAGTATAGCCTTTCCATGAGGGATATTAACGTGGTTTTTTTTTTTTTTTGGTACTGGGGATTGAACTTGGGACCTTGTGCTTGTGAGGCAGGCGCTGGAACCACTGAGCTAAATCCTGGGCCTTAGCATGTAGTTTTGCTTCTTGTAATGGCTTTGTTGGTTTTGGTAAACCCTAGCTTCACAGACTGAGGTGGGAAATGTTTTCTCCTCCTCTGGTTTTTGGATGTGTTGTGTAGAACTGATACAACATATTTCTTAAATATTTGTAGAATTAAACCAGTGGAGCCATCAGGAATGGAAATTTTCTTTGTGGGAAGATTTTTAACTATAAATTTAATTTGACATTAGACCTTTCTGGTTGACTTGATATTAGACCATTATTTGTGAGTTTTGGTAGCTTAGGTCTTTCAAGAAAAGTGTAATTTTCATCTAAATTGTCAAGCTTATTGTCATAGTTGTTACTTCCTTATCCTTTTATTGTTAAGCTCTGTAAGGATGTCTTTTTTGATAATAATTTTTGTCTCTTTTTCTGTGGTCTGGCTAGAAGTTTATTGGTTTTATTAAATTTTTAAAAGAATCAGGTTCAGAATTGACTTAGTGTATTCTCTATTTTCTGTGCCACTGATCTATATTTTCCTTGTTATTGCCTCCCTCCTCCCTGCTTTGGCTTTAATTTTATTCCCGTAGTTTAAGATGGAAGCTTGGATGACTGAATCTGTATTCTTTTCTTTTTTCTTTTTTGCAGTACCAGGGATCGAACTCAGGACCTTGCGCTTGCAAGGCAGGCATAGCACCACTAAGCTAAACCCCCAGCCCTGAATCTTTTATTCTTTTTCAAGTTAAGCATTTAATGGTATACATTTTTATATACTGTTTTAGCCACATGTTGCAAGTTTTGACATTTGGGATTTCATTTAGTTCATACTTTAGAATCTTTTCCAGTACCCACGGACTACTTAATGTATTATTTTTTAGTAACTTAGGGGATCCTCCAGGTCTGTCTATTACTGATTTCTAGTGAAATTCTTCTGTAATCAGAGGTAACTGCGGGCAATCCTTTTAAGTCTGAGTCATGCTATAGCCCATAAGGTTTATCTTCATGAATGTCCTATGAGTTGTTAGAAAATGTGTATTTTGGTTTTTTGTTAAACAGAATGTATTTTCATTCAGTGGAACACAGGTGTTTCTATGGGTTCTGCCGTTTGGTTTTTGGTCAGAGATGGTCATAATATATAGTTTATTCGAATATATCCATTTATCTTAATAAGTGAAATATATTCTAAGGTTACATTTTCAAGTTTGATCACTGCACTTCAGTACTACTCTTTTCAAAGTTGTTTTTAAGTTTGCACAGACACGAAAGATCTCATGCCCCTTTCCACCATACTGTAAAACATGCTGGTCTTTTATTTTCTCTTCCTATTAAGGCCGGGCCTGAGTCTGAATGTAGATAATGCACACTGCTGACACAAAAAGTAACATAGGCTACAAGAGTACAGATCTTGGAGTCAAACAGGTCTGTGTAAAAATCCTCCCTCTGTTACCACGTATGTGTTTACAGGCACGTGGCTTTATCTTTTAAGGCTTTTTTTAAAAACTAATTTTTTTTTTTTGGTTTTCTGAGGCAAGGTCTTCCTTTGTAGTTCAGGCTGGCCTTGAACTCACTATATAGCCCAGGCTGGACTTGAACCTGCAGCGATCCTCCTGCCTCAGCCTCCCAAGTGCTGGGATTACAGGCGTGTGCCACCCCCGCCCCCCGCTTTTAAAAACTAATTTTGATAATGATAGCAAAACACTTTTATACAGCACAAATAACATGGCGGCAGTACTGTTATTAGTTACATGATTTGTAGCATTCTGAAAAGGATCCACATGTATTTTGCTTTTTAATATTTCTCACATTCCCTAAATCCCTTTACTGGCCACTTATCTATATGTATCAAGCACTGTCCTCTTTGAGCTGTATACTATAGTCATTACAGCATGGATACCTCCTAAGAAGGGTGGTTTATTTTTATTTCCTAACAAATTACTTATTGGATAGCTAATTTTACTGGTAGCAAATCAGGCAATAGGATGATAATGAGCATCTAGGAATGTGGGACCCCAGAATGGGGAGTGGATACTAATAAAGATGCCTAATAGGATTGGTTCTACCATTCTGGTGGGAGGGGGCAAATCCACCATCCTTGAATGCCTGTGCAATACAGCACAAAGATCAGCAACAGGACAACACTCAGAAACAAATTCTCAACAAATCATAACAGTAAGGCAACAGTGAAAGTAATAATTTATTATGTCTATTGAGCCTAGTACGTCATAAGACCTAAAGAAGAAAATCATTACTGGAATCATTTAACATGTCTTCTGAGTTAAGAAGCAAAACAAATAAAGCACAGCTGAGCTCTGTAAACATGCAAATTACATTTTCACTCAACAAGCATTTGTTGTACCAACTAGTGCTAGGCACTCTACCAGGCGGTGGGCACGTGAGTGACTATGCCAGACGCGGTGCCTTTTCCTAGTTGGGAAGGGACGTAAGTAACCTAGAGGACTCAGGATGAGAAAGGGGCAGTGAGCTATGGGTATACAGGAGAAAGGCATCTGACCCTGGGCGGCCCTGAGGACCTCAGGACCAACAGCCACTGAGGGGCAAGGGTTTCAGGGGGGAAGGAGGAACAACCTCTGCAGAGGACTTCAGCTGTCACTCTGACCTCTCCAGAAACACTCAGCCACACTGTGAAAACTCACAATCGCATTGTAATGTCTGAACACTTAAGGTTACCCAAACTCGGCTCAAGATGAGTTAAGTGCAGGATGACAGTGTAATATCCCATTTCGAACAGAGTTTTACAAAGAAGATCTTGATAATGATTAAAGGAATGACAGCAAGTCAGGCTTGTTGATGCATTTTATTGTGAGATGGGGGAATCTGGTAAAAAACTAGAAAATGACCATGGTGTAACAAGGAACTTAAAAATGAGTCAGATTGGTAACTTACATACATGAATACAGGAACAAATTGGCACAAAATGTTAAACATTGTTCCCAACACTGTCTATATAAGGTAATTCTAATTTGGCTTGCTAAGGAAATGAGAGTTTTATGGTTAGGCTAATCTCTTAATAAAACTGCAGAGCATCATGCTATTAGTCACACAGTGAATTTCAAAATTTAAGAGTTTTATATTAAAAACTGGGAAAAGGTAAAATGACTTGATTGTAGTTGTAAAACTAATACATTCCCATTTAAATTCTGTTCTACAGTCCAAGGCAAGTATAAATGTTAACATAACACTGTTAAATCAAATCTCAATGCAAGAGAACCAATTGCATCTCTACTTTAAATCTTATCAACTTTCCAAATTTTCATACTAAAATATATTATTGTATTAATACAAACTACAGTATTATACACTACACTGTGTAATAAATAAAGAAATATAAAAATAAGACACATAAATATAAAAGTTTTCTAAAACTAAAAGTACAATGTCAGTAAGAAGGGTATTAATACTGCCAGGTTTGAAGACATACAGTACAAAAATGTTGCACAGATCTATAAACTAAAAGAAAATAATACTGATAGGTAAAAATCAGCTAATGTTGTTAATAAGTTGGGTCCATAATAACTAACATTTGGAAACTGTTATGAGCCAAATAATAATGGCATGTCCATGACTGAAATGCAAATACATGGATAAAGCAGATTAGAAAATTTCCCTTTAGTTTCTGTAGAGAAATTCTGAAAGTCAATTAACACAAAATGAATATTGAAGAATTAAAGGATGAAATGTCCCAGTGTTTTAGTTTCTCTGACAGAGTCAGTGGTTTTCAATTTGGGAATTTTGACAGGACAAATCAACAAATGCTAGTTATTGTAGGCCACACACTGAATGAAGGCAGGTTAGAGCCTTAAAAATACTGAGAAATGGCACTTACAGCACACAGGTCTTGCTTAAGGCCAAAGGAGATACAAAGCTTCATATCATATCCTTCATATTCGTTACCACATACTCAAACACAATCACAAACACTGATTCTGACGACGCTGCTGTCCTTACCAGTATCAACACTGTTAGTCCCTGCAATCAGAACTCAATGACAATCTTTTGAACTCCATTTAAAATCACATGAGTTAGAAACTTCAGTTCTTCTATCAGCTGCTTTCTTTCTTTTTCTTTTTTTCTTTTTTGGTACCGGGGATCAAACTCGGGACCTTGCACTTGCGAGGCAGGTGGCAGAACCACTGAGCTACTTCCCCGGCACTCAGCTGCTTTCTTAAGGCTAACAATACACTTTAAATGATAATATGCTCTACTATGACATCTAAATATTAGAAATGACTACCTTCTAGACTGAATTTATAAAAGGTAGTAGCATGGTTCGGAGCTGCATTATACTTCTCTTGAAGGGAATTCTGTAGTGCAGAAGTTCTCACATTTTAAAAAACATAATAAAATACTGAAGCGGATTTAGCTTTAGCTTTAAACATATGTTTACCAATAAAAAATTATAAAATTTCTTCCAATTGTACAGCATAAGAATAAACCAACATAAGTGATAATACTGATAAAACGAAACAATGCCAGATGCTTGTCTAATTATCAGTTTCCTGTAACCTATTAAATCATTACTTTCTGAGTCATTAAAGTTTTCTAATCTGCTTCATGTTACAAACTTGTTCCTAACTTTGAAAACTGCATGAAAAATTACTAGGTCTGTGATTCAGGCACACCCGGAATTTTTTTTGTGAGTGTTTTTTTTTGTTTTTTTGTATTTTGTAGTTTTTACTTTACACAGTAGTGAACAGGAATCACAGTATACAGGTTACTGTGCTTCCATGAAAAGCATGGATAATATAGAACAGACTTCATTACCAATTAGGATTTATTTTCTTTCTAGAAAAACTATTAGGCTTCATTTGTTTTTTCTTCAGACACTTGCTCACTATTCTTGCTTACTTTTTGTTCTAAGCTGCTCCCTTGACTTACAGCTCCGTCACCCTTCACTGGACCTTCAGTGTTTGTTTCTGCTCCCTCATTCTCCGCCTCTTCCACCTCTTCTTCATCTACTTCTTCCTCCTCTTCCTCCTCTTCCTCATCCCCCTGTGGTTTTTCACATTCCTTTTCTTCCTGCAATTCTTCTATCTCTCTATCTTCCTCCTCCTCTTCCTCCTTCTCACTGTCTTCATCCTCTTCCCTTGTCAAACTCTCTCTCCCATCTGAGTCGACCTGGGAGGGAGACGCCCTCGCACTGGCATGCTCGTTCGTCAGGACTTCTGGGCCTGCTTCTTCCTGCTCTGTGCTGTCTCTTTCCTCTGCTTCTCTTTTGCAGTAGGAGTAGCGATGATTCATGTGTTGAGAATAAGATCCAGAGTGTGAGAAGCGCTTTCCACACTTGTCACATTGATAGGGCTTTTCTCCAGAATGTAATCGCATGTGTTCAATCAAGTGATGTTTGTGTTTAAATGCCTTTTTACAGATTCCACACTCATGAGGTCTTTTACCTGTAAGATAAGAACACAGCTATGAAATAAAATGATGATATGAGGTATATAAAGTTCTTCTAAGTGCTGGGGGGCTCTTGGATTGTGGAAAGCATAGGGTTACAATGACACCTACTGTAATATGATAACACAGTTTGTTATCTATACAAGGAAATTCAGTGTTCTATAATCTGCTTTGTAGGTGAGAAGGTCAATGGGAACTATGACATTGAAGTGCCAGACATACGTGCATCATGCCAATAAGCTGGAACACAAAAGCTCTGATGAGATATGTGGCAGTGTACACAGTAGAGGTAAGGAGGGAATAGAGATGTTCCTCAACCTGGTTTTTCATTATTGCCCTTAAGGACCCTTTTAGACATTTTTTCAGACACATTCTTTCCCCAGCCTCTAACAAAGTTTTAATGTCTTTTCTATGGTTTATATATGACAAAACTCATACATCTAGAGTTTACGTACTGAGGTCCTTAAGAAAACCACAAACTATTATAGTATCTAAGTTTTGTCCCCCCGGAAGAAACTAGTGTTGATCCTTGAGGGCAATTTGGTTTCTACTGAGAAATGCCTGGGCTGGACAATTGCTGCTGCCCAGACATGAAAACAACGAACAACAACTGAATTATAATCAAGACTGGTAATGTGCAACTTCAGTGCTATCAAGCAGTAACACTAACAAATGCAGAAATGATTTAATTTTATTTTATGGATAGTGTATTTTCCATTTTGCTATTTGCTAATATTTAACTCTTGCCCAAAGCAGAAGGGTATTTTCTAATATTCCTTAGGTCTCAATGAAAACAACTGGAGGAATGTATCATAAGGGACTTGTTTTGAGAGGCAGGGCTTGCTCTCATGCACTGGTTTTTAACTCCAAGAACTGGCTGTATCTTTGAATCTATAGATAAAATAGTTCTTTGTATGTCTTCTGGCTAAAGCAAATGAATTAATGTAGCTGATAAGAACATCAGAGATAAATATGGATACTGTAGCTAGAATGACTGGCAGGGGAGGGAAGAGTAGATGTGGACTGAAGAGCTCATGACACATCCAGCCCTTTCTGCATAACCTGTGTTAGAAACAGTGGTGTGCTATGACTGGCTAGGTGTCTGCTGCTGATTATCAGGGATTCTGCAGGATGACTGAAAGCTGATTTGAGCTTGAAATCAGCCACATTGGGAGTATTCAGGCCACATAAACCTGCAAACACTATACAACAGGCTTCCTCCATCAGTTGTTACAGTGCACCCGTACTGCACTGGATAGGTGCAATCAGGCTGGCAAATGTCTTCTGTAGAAGCCAGACAGTGAATATTTTAGAGTATGCTGGCCAAATGGCCTCGGTAATAACTACTCAGGTTCTGCCAATGCAGAGCACCAACAAAGTGGCCACAGACAACAAACAACGAATGGGCAAGGCTGTGTTCTAATACCACTTTATTTAGAGGATGCCGAAATATTATTTCTTAAATAGTTTTCATGTATCATTATGTTCATCTTTTTCAAGCATTAAAAACTGTTCTTAGCCCAAGGGCCCAGGAAAACAGGCAGAGGCCTACAATAGGTCTCTGGGTCACAGTTTGCCAATCTCCGCATTAGCCTAAGAAATGTGTAGTTTGTGCTACACTTGATCTTAGCCACAAGGCCGAGAAGCGAGAAAAGTGTATATTTTGTGGAGGAATGAAAGAATCTGAGTTAGAAGAGATCTTAGAATTATCTAGTGTAACCTCTAGGCAGAAGTTTGTTCCACAATACAAAAGATCTGTTTGAAACCTCTAAGTGACAAAGAGCCTTTAAAGTATAGATCTGACACGACTCTCAAAAGTCTCGTGTGTTCAAAGGTGGGGCTTTGGGAAGAGACTGGATCGTGGGGGAGCTACAGCATCAGTGGATTAGGCCACTGAGAGTTCACAACTGACGTGCTGTCAGGTGGTGAGGCCTCTTCAGCAGCTGGGTCGCTGGGGGTGTCACCAGGAAGGGTCTATTGTTACGCTGGCTCCTTCTCTGTTTGCTTCCTAGATGTCCTGGGTGAGCAGCTTTCCTCTGCCAGGCCCTTCCACCAGGATGCTTCTGCCTTGGAGCCAGCTGACCAGGGACTGAACCCTCTGAAACCATGAGCCAAAATAAACCTCTCCTGCTTTCAGTTGTAGGAGTTAGGTATTTCGTCTCAGTGACAGATAGGTGACTAATACAGAGCCCGTGACCTGACAGGACAGAAAGCTGTATGCCTTTGAAGCAGCTTTTTCTTTTATGAAGCAAGATCCTGTCTCCTATAGCTTCCTCCAACTGGCCCCTTATTTTTATTGATAGGTACTATATTCTTACTAATATAGTATAAGCTTCAATAAATGCATGTGGACAGAATAAATCCTGTGCCAGTTTAAATAATTAAGCCACTGAAGGACTATAAAAAGCAACCCCCTCCCACAAAAGGGCACAGAGCTTAAATAAGAGATTTAGTTTTTAATTTAGCATTTCATCGTATCACATCAAATCATATCACAGGCACTTTGAAAAAGGACCTGTGTTCACTGACCTACCTGTGTGTTCATATTTGTGTCTCAATAATGAGCTACTCTTCTGGAATATCTTATCACACAAGTCACAAGCATACATTCCATTTTCTGTCTTCCGCATTTTCTTTTTAGGTGGTGTAGAATCAGAGTCATTCTGATCTTCCACATTGGATACTCCTTCTGAGCTAGTGTCTTGCCTTTCATCCTTTTAGGGAAAAAAGACTTCAAATTAAAATTAAATTTCAAATTAAAAGATAATTAAGAAATGTAAACAAAGTAGAGGTTAAAACTTTGATTTATACATCCAACCACCTGACCACAACAAGTACATGGCTCATCACTGCACACACCTCCAGAGGTGGGGGCCAGATCGCAGTGGGGCTGATAAAGTGTAGTACAGATGAAATAGCCAAAGCTATAGTGAACATATGCTCCATTGGTAAAGAAAGAGGGACACCAGAAAGAATGAATGTAAATTGTGTAGCAACAAAATTTACTTGGTTTATGATAAATCTGCAGAAAGTTTTAACCTAAGAGTTTGCTAATTAATCACTAATTTCTAACTGCATTATTTACCTTTTTCATTCTAGATTTCACTATACAAAAACTAAGATTGTTTTTTAAAAGTGGTCTTTAAAGTATACTTTCTGGACCTTCTAAAGTCCCTGAGCCAGGCCTATGGTTTGAGCAGCAGCACAAGAGGGTCCACGTGGTTGAACAGCAGCACTTGTCAGAACAAACCTTTAGTGGCAGTAGAATGAAATATCAGGCAGTCTCAGGAAAATAATTTGGCAGGAGGTTCAACTGTAGATAGAACATTGCCTGGAGCCCCTTACAGAATTAGGACAGCTCAGTTCTTTGGGCCCTTTTCTTGAGTCTTCTGTTCTATTGGCTCTAAACTTATAAATTTCCTACAAATTCCAAGTTCCCCAGATCTCTTCTGGCTTTTTCAGGCAGGAGAGATGCAGTCATTTATTGGGGTCATTTGTGTGCTTGCATGGATGCTGAAGGAACTCTGCTTTTCTTGCATTTGATCTAGTCACATGATTATGTGGAAGTTAAAAGTGGTTCTTTTTTTTAAATTCAAAAGTGTGCAAAGTGTTCCATACACTGAAAATTAAGATGAATTCACTGGTTGTGTGAAAGTTTTTTTTTCCAAGCGTTATTAAAATTTCAGAGAAATCACTCAGTAGCTACATTAGGGGAAAATAAAAGCAACAAATACATATGTGAATAGGATACTGATATTACAGTTGGTACCTATTATAACAAGTATTTGCTTTAAAGATCAAATATTAATTTCTTGTATTCATTTCATCCAATCAGAAAATGATGGGGGAAAAAGTAAGTAATAAGATACGAAGGTTAGTGACGTGAAAAAATCCTAGACAATGAGAAAAAATAGCTACACAACACAGCTGTATCTGAAATGATCTTGGAGTTTTGGAGAAAGTTACAGGAGCCGGGGATGTAGCTCAGTGGTGCCGCCCTTGCCTCGAAAGCACAAGGTTCTGAGTTTGATCCCGGTACCAAAGAAAGTTAAAGAGGAATTCATTGCCATGTTTCCTCATATATTAATTATAATTAAAAATTGTTTATTCACAGCTTATAAAAGGATTGATAAATTAACTAGTTGAGTTGTATATATACTTCTTATTTAATTAAAGTCTTTTCTTTTTCTGGAGCCAGGGATCGAACTCAGGACCTTGTGCTTGCGAGGCAAGCACAGTTCCACTGAACTAAATCCCTGGCTCTCATCAAAGCCTTTTATAAATGGAGGTGTTGGTACAAAAAAGTGGTAGCTGAATCTGAACCAGTGTGAACTTGTAAAGGGGAATATATTTTCATTTGTTAATGATCATAATCAGGGAAGAAACTGTTATTAATTTGGGGAAATTTATATAAGAAATCCAATTAATGAGTTTCTTTTCTCTTTTGTTTCTAATTTCAAATAGGTATTTATGAAACAGATCTTTTTACAGCAGAGTAACACATTAAACTTTAGTTGATGCTAATACCTTGAAGATGTCACAAAAGCCAAAGCAAACATTCATCTATTCCTTTAATTTTTTATTCCCTTTAAATACAACAGTTTCTAACAACCTAGCTGACCCTACAGTGACTGAGAATTTTTTAATTTAAAAAATGTAACTGAAAGGAGTCCAGGTAGCATTTTAGGAAGGGATAGGGATATTCCTACCTGATTTCCGTTTGGCTGGATCACTTTCAAGGGTGCTTCCTGGACTGCAGGGCTGACTGTAGCTGAGTACGTGTAAGCCACCTGGGGAATCAGAATGGTCTGCTTATTGGCAGCAAGCGCTCGTAAGCATGGAACACTGTTCTGGTCAGCAATGGCCACAATTGTGGGTAACTGGGCAGTGACTGTAGGTATAGCAATATTTATAGGGTTGGCACTTGGTGGGATTACATTTACAACTGGTTCTGAGTCTGTAACACAACTGTCCTTTTGTGGCTCCTTTTTTGCACAAGACAAGTTCAAGGGTTCTTCTTGGACAGAATAAACACTGTTCTGGTAAACACTAGTGATAGTTGGCCTTTCCAATAATTCTCCCTGTTGCTTTGGTAGTGAAAGATCCAGAGGCTCCACTTGTGGCTCTTCTTGCGCACCCTCTGCTGCGTACGGATAGCCCTGTGTGTTTCTGGCTGAGGAAAGGTTCAGAGGTGATGGGGGCGGTGTACTACTTCTGGAGCCACTCCTGCCTGAGCCCACTGGGGGGACTGGAGAGCGAGCTGTCTTCAGAGGGCTCTGTAGAGTTGTTTTGCTGTCCTGGGGTGGTTCTTCTGGATCTGCAGATTGTGGCTGGTCATCGTTCTTTGCAGGGATATTTACTTTGTCTGGTTCAGGAGAAGATGGTTCAGAGGACTGCACTGAAATCTGTCCTGCTTGCATCTTTTCAAACCACTTTTTAACTACATCCAGTGGTAGGTTTACAGAATCAGCAATTTTTGAGAGCTCTTCTGCACTTGGTTGTGCATTCAAAGCGTAATAGGCTTTTAGGAGAGACAAGAGGTTCTTTAAAGGTGGTTGACTGGGAGACAAACTGCCATCTCCAGTACCTGACGAGACAGAGGACTCGGACTTCTCAGCTTCTGGGGCAGGGAGTGGAGGGGGCTGGGCAGGCTGCTTTACGTCATAGTGCTTTAACTCTGGAAGTGCATTAAGGTCTCCTGGACAGTCATCACACAGAAGACAAGTGCTGTCATTCACTCCCCCTTCAAAGCTCTTGTCCTTCTCAGATTTAACAGTAAGATCTTCTGGTAACTTTTCACTTTTGCAACTGTTTGTGGGGACTGGGTTTTCTTTTTTTAAATTCTGCGGAACAACTTGAAGTTGGCTAGGTTGCTCAAGACTGTAGTTAATGATAATTTTGGTTGTTCCATCTTGATCAACTAAAGGAAGACTGATGGCTGAAATAACAGAATGGCCGCCTTGTTGTATGGATGAAGCACTGATTGTTTCTTGTTCTTTGGATGCAAGACTGGCTTGGTTATTCTCCAAAACTTGTCTTATCACATTACCGTCTACTGCCACTTTGAGTACATTCTGGATGTCACTTAAATTGATGCTTATGGGAGACACCAGGCCAACTGTTGGCAGGACAACAGCTTGCACCACGCCCTGAGGAGAACTGGCTGCCTGCAATGGGCCACCACCACTAAAAACCCCATTTTGTAAAGGGGTCGAGCAGTTGATTCCTGAAGCAACCACTATGGGCTTGAACTCATAATCCACAGGTTCAGTTTTAATCTGGTTTACAGAGAGTTGCTCTTGAAGGGGTCTATTCTCTAGTTTTTGCCGTATCTGTGGCCGTGTGGGACTCCCTGGGGATGCCGAGAGAGGCGGCGAGGAACACTGCGCGGTCTTGAGTCCTGTTCTTGGTCTCCCGTTCACAGGCAGCAAGCTGATACACTTCTTACTGCTTATGTGTGAGCTATAGGAACCAGAGTGAGAAAAACGTTTCTTGCAGTTTGGGCATTCATATGGCTTCTCTCCTAAACAAAGAACCATAGTCACTGAATTATTATGCATAAATTTTATGTATCTATATTTTACCTAAAATAAGCAATATAATTTTAAAAAAGCAAGGTTACTGTGTATGCCTGTGATACAATTTTATTTAGAATCATCATTTTAAAACTCAGAAATGGCAAACATTACAAACACCAGTAAAATCTTAGTTGAACTACATGCCCTAACCAAACAATCTTCTCAGCGCAGGCATGTGACAGTTCTCCCAACCTTTGTAACTTCAAATAATTCTCAAATATCAAGATTTAATCTTACTCTTGAATATTTTTTTCTTATTCTATTTCATCACCCTACATAATTTTCAATATTTCACACTACTCAACCATCTGTAGGATAAAGTTAAATTATGGAAAGAAAAGTAGCTACAATCCCCCATGATTTAACAGTGAATATCTATCCTTGACTGATAAAAATGCTCTGCCCATATCCGTATGGTTTCATTGAAAAAAAAAAACAAACCTTTCCTGCATGGAGAAAAACTGTAACATAAGGTATTGCTATAATCGTGGACTCATTAAGCTGGAATGTCTATTATACCTCCAGACAGCTAGCTACTAGATAGGTTCTAATAGATACTTTCTAGTAGATATGGAAATTTTTAGATACGGAATTTTACTTTCCCTGACAACTGGGCACGGTGGGTAACATACAATATTTATATGAACTGGCAAGAAAAACATGATGTCAAAGAAACATCTTGTTTGTGAAGGCTCCCCAGGGGGACAGGCCATTTGTTCTCCTTGACCATCAGAGATAGTTTGGCAATTTAGAGAAGTACTGAGCTAAATGAAATATTTTTATATAAGCCTATTTTTTTTCATTTTAGTTAAAATTTATAGTTAAGCTTCATTACATTTACAATTTATAGATTACAGACTATCAGCTCCAATAAGGTGGGGACCTCTGGATCTTGTTTGCTATCTATCCCTTGCACTTATCACAATACAGGTTAAAAAGATGCTTATTAAACCTTTTTAGAGGAATGATGGCTAGTTGTAGAATTATGAAATGTGGTACTGATTTGCCTACTCAGTAGTATAATAAAGCTCTTTCTTTCTAAGAATTAGAATGGAATCAGTGAGAAAGTGAATGTAAGTGCTATTAATGTAAGTTCCATGTTGTAAAGTTTTAAAACGAGTTATTTTCTCAGAAGCAGGAATATTTGAAGAATGGATGCTAGAAAAGGATCTAAGAAGCCTTCTAGTAAGATTATTTTCCAACAGAAGATTCACTTTATATCATCTTTGACATGAATTAGTCTGGTGTAACCTCAGTAACAGGGGGTTAACTGCTCAGGACAGCTCTATGGAAGTGTGTCTTGCTTGGTCTGCAAGGATCATGGATTTGGGTTCAAAATTTGGCTCTGTCATATACCATTTTCTTAACCTATGCAAGCCTCAGTGTTTTGGTGTGCAAATGAAGACATTCTCACTGGGTTTTTCTAAGGAGTTGTATGAGATTATATAGCAAACTCATAGTATGCTCTAAACAAATGTTAGTGATCTTTAAAAAAGCATTCATTCAAACATTCCTTGAAGGACATGGTTTTCAGAACTCCACCTTCTTGTTAACCCATCTCTGGGTTTATCAGTATCAATTTATCAATATCTTTGCAATGAAATGCCTGGACTAGGATTCAATACTCAAAATGCCATCAGATAAAAGTGCCCAATGGAGATAAAACAAGGGATATGTCCTAGTGTATCTCTTTTAATATTTTTAACTACTTAGTAACATTTTAGATGAGATACATGAGTATCTTCCCAGAGATGATAGGAAGATAAACATTCATAATGTAGACTATTTTATCTTTACAAACAGGGAGATCAAGAATAATGGGAAAGGCGGGAGTCAGGATGCCACCATCAGAGCCCCAGCTTTGCCATGTACTAGCTGAGTGAACCCAGCTAAGTTAATTGAACTCTTTAAGTCTCCATTTTTTGCACAGTAGGCAAATAATATAAACTGCCTCATAGGGCTTTTTGAGGACTATTGATGTCAGTGTAATAAAGAACTAGTAAGTGGCTATAAATAAATATTTAATAAATTCTAGCTATCTTTATTCTGCTTGTTTGGAGTTACCTTGATATTTTATCATTGCAAGTAAGAAAGTTTACAGAATAATCATTCAAAAGCCAAAGTTATTATGTTAGAAAACTGTTTATAATCTCAGAACTGTATGATTTATACCTTACGCCCATCATGTAATTTACCCAGTTTAAGGTTTGCAACTAGTTTAGTCTGGAGGTTGTATCAGTAAGCTTCACTACTCAAAGTTAGATATAACATGAATATTGAGGGCTTTTAAATAGCTGGGGTGGGTATTTGGTTGCATCAGATGTAAATATTTTCCAGGCTAAATTTACTAAAGCTATGGAACAAAAAGTTATTTCCTGAGGAGGATCCTTGCCCATGTGCAGATGGCTCTCTTGTTTCATCTCTGAGTGGAGGTGTGGTGGCTTCTTTATCATAGCTTAGCTCCTACATGCAGAGTTCACATGACTGTGAACACACTTGATTCTGCACAGGCTCATTATCATGGTTTTATGGGTTTCCGAACAGAGCAATTACTCAGCCAATTTTAGGGAATGCCAGTTTGGATCCTGATCCTCCACACCTTTTAAAAGCCCATCTGAGAAAAAAAAAATAATTACAGAAGTTTCCTAAAGGGTGTGCAGTTCAGTCACTAGTTGTTCTGCACAGTCCACTATTAATTAATATTTTGTAAAATATATGAAAATGTCCCAGCAGTGTATTGGTATAATAGTTTTAAAGTGCTTAATTTCAATTCTGTTTTCTTAAAGAACCAGTAACACAGGGTTTGCAGCCTGGCACCATTCCTGGGCTGACTCTTGAGGTAGCCCTGCTTGAAAATCTTCCCTTGGCATAAACCAGACTATCAGAGAACTGTAGGCTTGCAGTGTTTAAGTGGCCACCCTGGAGAAATGCTTTTTCTAAATTGTACTTTGATAAAATATTGTTGACCTCTATTAAAAATATGATTTAAAGAAGAGAATGCTATGAAATTCTCTGCTGAAGGATGTCCGAAATTATACTTTGCTCTTTCTCCTTCTTTTTTTTTTTTGGTACCGGGGATCGAACTCGGGTCCTTGCGCTTGCACAGCACTGAGCTAAATCCCTGGCCCTCCTCTTTCTTCTTGATGATGCTACAAAGACCAACTTTTCTGTAGACTTGGTATCTCAAAGAATAGTCTTAATTTTTCTTACATCATTCTGAATCAATTTTACTTGCTGTATTAAAGGTATACAAGCCTCATATTGGATAATTTCAAGAATAAGATGTAAGCAGACAATTAATGGAAAGTGGAGAGTTTGTGTTCCATGCTCTGGCCTAAATCTGCATCAGCTGTTCAGTAGTGGTACACTGTTAGCTCATATTAGGGTCTTGGCCACTCAAATTTACTACTTGATTGAGACTGATTTTTGAATACCGATGCAGGATTTTGCAATTGAGTTTCAACTTCTTATTCCTAGACCACTATTGCAATCCTTGGTATAATCTGTGCTTCTCAGGTTTCTATCATCTAAAATCTGATAAATCCTACATACAGCTATAACATAAATCTTACCCTAAGTTTTATTTTTCTTCCTTTACCTTAATTGAAACACTTTTAAAACTCTCTTGAATTAGCTCTATCTCTGTTAACAACTTCAATAATATTTAGCAAAAGGTAGGTGATTATGATATTTCATTTGTGATGAAAACTGGTCCACAGCACAGGAACTGAGAAACAGGACACTCTGGCAGGCTGCACAACAACCTCTGCTTTTCAGAATCATTGATCAATGGGTGAAAACAAATACTTTTTAGTAGTCTTGGTTTGAATATGTCCAAGTGGTAACTCCAGCGTGCTTATCACAGGGAGTTCACCTCAGTGAGCAATACAGTAAACCCTTGAGAAGCGCAATTCCAAAGTATACCACAGATGCTGCCAATCACCACTCACAAAGCCAGCCAACAGTTCTTTTGGGAGGAGGATATCTGTGAAATGTAAATGTCAATACAATAGTTTCCACAAAGTAATAAGCAATGTATAAACATCTTTGTTTTCTCATTCACTGGTTAATAATTTTTTTCATTAAAATCATTTATATCTGAAATAGTGTATCAAAATTGATCAGGAGATGAAGAGATTACAGTGTGCAATTTAGGAAGCTATAAGCTTTAAGTAGAATCTTGAAAGAAATGCAAACATAGCCTTCATTGTTTATCACGTTTCTATATCATACTATCACTATCATATATATCCATTTTATAATTATTTAGAAAATGACATGGACTAGCAAGGTGAAGATGATGGGAACATATCTTTCTTCCAAATGCACATTAGTGTTGTGGTTCTCTCCACCCTCATGCTGCCCTTGCTTACTGATTCAGTATCACTTCTCTCTGATTTTCTTGAGTTTCATTTCTCCTTTTCTCATGTAAAGGCTACCTTCACCTCCTTATTCCCTTCTGCATATTTCACCTCTACACAAAGGAGACAATGAAAATAACATTCATAATAAAGCTGAAGTGATTTAGTTTATACCTGTTAAACATGCTATATTATCTTCTGATTAGGAAATCTGGAATGTCATATCAATCTGATATACTTTAGTCAAAGTTTAAGATGCTAATAAAATTTATAAACAGCAAATTTCTCCATATTGTTTTTTGAAGCAAAACATTTATTGATACATTTTAGATCATCCATATTGGTCTTTACCCTAAAAGAAAAGCAAGTAGTTTTTGATTATGTCTGTAAATCATATTATGTAGTAATTACCACAGATGTTATGATATTCAGGACAGAGAAAGAAAACAAGTATTTACCACTGTGAATTCTTAAGTGCTCTTTTAGGTGGTGTTTGTATTTGAAAGCTTTTCCGCATTCAGTGCACTTGAATTTACGATTACCCCCAGACTGCGCCACATGTCTCTGTAAGAAAGAATTGTTTTATTTTTAAAGCAAAAGAACATTTAAGTTCTGTAGACATAAAGAACATTCGCCTGTTAAAAATGTTTTCAGTGAGTTTGAGGATTGTTTTGGTTTTTAAAGGCCTCTAACTCTAGCAGTCATAAAACTATAACATTTGAATTATCCACCCCCACAAAAGATGGTGATAGTGAGAATTCTGACACAGAAAGATCTCCCCTTTATAATTTAAATTTATTAAGCAGTATAGCATTAAGTAAAAAGTAATATACACTTTTTGAGGAACTAGAGATTATCCTGTCTAAACTCTAATTTAAAGATAAAGAAATGAAGTCCAAGAATAATCTATCTAAAGCAGTTACTCAGTAGAAGAAGGTCCTGAACAGAAGAAAGGGCTGAGCTTTTCCACTACTATATGTTATCTCTTAACATACTTGGTATTTCCAAAATCTACTTTAATGATTTAAAAAAATACTTCCATGTTTTGAGTCAAATGTGGACTTTTTTATAACAGCTTTCAACTTGATTTATCAAAGTCTTATTTTTATATCTTTCAAATATATTGTGCACACACTAATTAGTCACGAGAGCTCTTCTTGAATTGCACTGTATTAAACCCCTGCTTAGGAATCTAAAACGTCCCCACTGGCCCTGAATAAAGACCCTGAGTCTAGGGTTTCCAACAGTGTCGCCCTGAGTTGCCACGACTGTTCTTCGGCACTTCTCCATAAGAAGCCCACGCCTCAGCCAGTCAGTGATTTGCAGTCTTTTGCACACACATGGCTCCTCTCTACTTCCTTGCTGTGCTGTGCACTGTCTTCTGCTCCCTGGGTCTATCTGCCCTTCATTCTATTAAGACCCTGGCTACCCTTCAACAGGATACTCAAGCACCACTTGTTTCACGGCACCCCAGCTGGAATTTTCCTTCCTGTCTTTTTACAGGAAGAAAAGAGAATGAATATTTATTATGTATCAAGCCCCGTGTTGCCCAAACTCATGGCTCAAGGTACCAAACATACGGGGACAACTCTCAAGTGTGTTTTCTGACCTCTCTCCTCCCAGACTCACAGGCCCAATCAGGCACCTGAAACTTAACATGTAGCACCCCAGCCAGTTTCTCTTTAGTGTGTATCTTTCCGGAATAGCACCCTCATTTATTTCTTTACTGCTTAGGTGTTGAACTTTGCAACTGTCCTCTTTTCTAACCAATCCATCAGCAAGCCATCTGGACATGGATTGAATCCAACATTCTTCACTGTCATGTCTGCCATACAACCTGTGGTCTGGACTACAGCAAGACACTGTAAATGGTCTCCTTGCTTCCATTCTTGTCTCTCTCTTGACCTATTCTCCAACAATGTTTCCTTAAAAAATTTAAAAATCCAACATCCTTCAAAGCCTTCCCCATTACCTGTTAGAATAACATATATGTAGAAGAAGCCTATACAGAGCCTTCTAGCATGTGGCTGCAGGACCTCTCTGGTCTGTCTTTCCCCTTCATCCTCACTGGCCTCTGGCTGTTCCTGGGACATGCCAGGCAGGTGTCTACTCAAGGCTTCTTAGTTTCAGTCTATTCCCTCTGACTGTAAAGCCCACCCCCAGTATTCTACAACTTTTCCATTTCATGCTGGGCTCGGTTCAGATGTCCCACTTTCTAGGTCTCTGTAAGAGCTGGCGGCTTTCATCACTTTCTATCTTCCTTCTCTTCTTTTTCTTCACACTACCTGTTTTTCATTTCTTTGTTTTATATCAGCCACTAATGTGTGGTGCTTTGGTCAGGACTTTGTCTTTTCCATGCTTGTTTCTTTATCTTAGAACAGGGTGTGATACCTAATAGAAACACATATATTTGTTGAAAGAATAAATTAATAAGACAAAGATGTGCTTATGCTTTAGTCACAGTGTCAGCTTCAGTGGTCAGCAAGACAGACATTCTACCCTTTGGCTTGCTGTCTTTCCATCTCATCGTTCCCATGGCCTACCTCTCAGTTACATTTCCTCATTACTGGTTCCCATATTTATCATAGCTCCTTCCTGTCTTCTCTGACTTGAAGTTTATATGAGGTGTGTTTATATTAAAAAATTGTATTACAGCAAAAATGACTACACCTTGCCATTAGTCCCCCTCGCTTCAAATACACTGATCCCATCATTCTTGTCACTTTCTGCAGCAGCTCTGGAAGTGCTCTTTTGTATGTGTCTTTATAGTTGTCCTGTCCTGGCTGCCCGGCTGTCCTGAATTGATTCATATATTTACCTTTTATGGTCATTTAGACTGTGCAGAAGAACCGGAAGTCACACGGTGCCAGATCTGGTGAATAAATTGAATGAACACATACTATAATGTTTTTATGAGCCTGCCTTTCAGTTGGATGGTACTTGGCAGAAACATTAACTGAATATTTGATTACACCTAATAAAGACACTCACAGAAAAGACTTCCAGAATTCCTTCAGAACCTGTCATGAACTATGAGATGTGTGTTTGAAGAGAGGGGGATCACAGTGTTTTCCTACTAAGACAAATTTTTAAAATTTAACATTCATCATATTTTTGGTCATTGCTTGTATATAAAACCTACTTTGTACCCACCAAAAAAATTATCACAGTGTGTGGCCTTCATGATCATCAGAGATTTCAGTTCTTTAAAATACTGGCATCTTCTCCTCTCACTATGGGTCCTTTCCTTTGACAAGGCCCCAGGGGTAGTGAGGATGTGGTGACAGCCTGCAGGAGCGTCTGCCTGCCAGGCCTCGTGAGCATGCCTACACTGTGGTCATGCAGGACACACAACAATGCAATGCACGTGGGAAGGAGATGGCATTTGTCCCAGTGGTCCCTCCTCTGCGTCAGCTTCTTCTCTTGGTCTCTCCCTTGTCAAGGGCTCTGTCAGGGACTTACCCACTACACTATGTTTGGAAATCGTGGTCCTACTCTCCTGTCACTCTCATCCCCACCATCTTGTTCTTTCGTGAGTGTTGTGCCAAAGTCCCGAGGCAACAGGCTGCCTGTTCATTCTTTTTTCTGTTTGGTTTAGTCAGCCTCCTTAGCAAGGGGTCTAACTGGCTTTCTGTAGGATATGTGACTAATATGAGGTCCTTACACAGGGCTTACACAGTTTGCATTCCTACAAACTCAATGTATTGGTATTCATAACTCGCTGACAGAGAGACTGGACCTGTGCCCAACCCCAACACACACCCTGTGTGACTGAGTAAATCGATATTAATTTGTTGATAACTGATAGTTATCAGGAACTTATAAAAAAGGACAGCTGCTAAACTTCATCTTTTTTTTTTTTTTTTTTGGTGTCAGGGATCAAACTCAGGACCCTCTGACTGAGAGGTGGCCGGCAGAACCGTTGAGCTAAATCCCCAGTCTAAACTTCTTTATCATAATATAGAGTTAAGAATTTAAGTGTAACTTAATAGTTACAAAATACTCTTGGTTTATACTTCTAGGAAATGGGGCATAGAATAAACCATTTGAAAACTGATTCCAAACTGGATTCTTAAAGAAGGCAACTTCCCTCACAATAGGAAAAGGAAAACTACAGTAGCTTACACTGAGCCTAAATAAAGCAGTCACTGGTTCAAAGAAAACTGTATTAAAAAAAATGTCTTCTCAATTTGGTTAGTACTAAGTCTTGTGACTTATGTAACCAGTGTTTGTTTTCTCACACCGAACATTTTAATAGAATGCAATTTGAAATCTTTTAAATTTGGAGTAATATCTATTATGAGATAAGCAAAATAAAAAAAATGGAAAGGACCTTACCAGAAAAAGAAAAAATTTCATCACTTTCATTTCTCATTTTCATAAGACTGCAGATAAGACAGTGTCTACCACATCCTTTTAGCTCTTAGGTATACTAAAATCCTTGCCTTTAAGAGTTGAATTTCCAAAATTTGGAGGCAGTGAACTCCTGGTCATTTCACTTACTTGATCTCTTCCTGACTTATGTGATGTCATGTGACGTTCAAGTTGGGTTCTGTATGCAAAGGTGTAACTGCACAGGGAGCAACTGAAGTTATCTTCATTCTTCTCATGGCGATATTTAATGTGTTCTTTCAGAGAGGTAAAGCGCTTATACCCTCTATCACAGTACGGGCAGGTGAGTAACTGAGAAAATGCATCTGGTGTTCCTGTAAAAGAGATTATACATTATAAACTCAAAACAATCAGAAACTGTTACCAAAGTTAACACTAAATCCCTATGCTAGGTGCCAGATATTGTGCTACTCACTTTATATTTGATGCTCAAAACAGTACAATGATACTCATTTCCATTTGTCAAAGGAGAAAACATGAGGCTCAGAAAGGTTAAATAACCTAAAAAGTCACACAGTCAGTGAACAATGAAGTCACATTCAAACACAGGATGACCTTCAAGTCCTCTAACTTTTTCACTAAATCAAAGTTCTTCCCTTCTGAATATGGTTAACTGGACAAGGCAACAAAAACAAAGCCAGGGTGCAGGTTACATTTGCAAATGTATAGTAAAGGAGGAACTATACAATAGAATCTTTCTATTGGTAACAGTTGTTATCATCATTTAATATTCATCTTATGAACATGAAAATGTACTACACAGAGGATGTTTCTGAGTTTCCCTTCCAATTAGATGTGGCCACATGACTGACTTCAGCCCAAAAAGAAAGTGTGTGTGTTGGGGGTGAGCAATGGTGAAGGGGCCAGACTTGGGTCTGCCCATAAGGGCCTCCTGGACAGGACTCTTTCCCCTACCAACACAGTGACAAACTTTCTACATACTTTTTTCTGTATATATGTAACTTTCTGAAAACAAAGATATCTCCAAATGCTCCATAAACATATACAGTATTCCTCTATTAAGAGTTCAAGCCTGTACAAATTAAATGTCTTGCTCAAACACCATTCTGCCAGTCACAGAATGAATGCCTGAGCTCCAAACAGCTACTCAAATATATCGAAACATGCAACAAATATATCAATAAAATGAAACACCCAAAGCTCCAAAATTTATGACGGTATCTTTTGTTACTAGCTAGGCAAGGCAAACTGAACCAGACGGCTCTCCATTGACCATCGTATTTGGGGAGGAAATCATGTCAAATTTTGTGGAGTATGCATTTCCTCTTCACATAGGCCAGTGGGAAGTCAACACTGGCCTCTCCAGTTTACTGATTTAGGCTGTTACAACGGCGAAACCCAGAGACTGCCGTGGTGCGGGGCTTCACTAGTGACACTTCAATGTCATGAGATTCCTTTAATCAAAATGCCCCTCCTCCAGTGTCATGGAGCTGCCTGCTCTCATTTTGTTCTATTTTCTTCTTTGTCTTTATGATTAATCCATGTAATTAATAAAACATTAATAATTTGGTTAAATGACAGGTTGCTCATGATAGTTTAACAGCAAGTTAGTTTCATCAATCAGTATCTACTAAATTTTCCTACATATGTAAGATATGAATTCATTCTTTTGAATCACTAGTATAAAACAATAAAAAGTGAAACCGAATATTTGGAATAAACATAGAATGAGCAGGTTTAAAAGGCAAGTGAAGGTTTTTATTTGAAAAATATAAAAATTTATTAAAATTCATAGTGCAGTAATTAAGGTTTGCTGTGTAGAGGAAATGTTTCTTTTTAGATTGACTCTAAGAAACTTAGACCCATAAATATTTTTTACAACAAAATTCTTAAATTTTTATATTCTAGATTTCTTTTGTTATACAGTATAATATACTTAATATAAAACTTCTGAAAAGTCCCTTGTGTTTGTTCCCTACTGATTCAGAATTTTTGATTATTCAACCTGCTGGAGTCAGTCTGCCTATATACAGCTTATGAGGATAACATGCAAGGAGGCATGTTTAATCTATTGCAAATTTAAAAATTAAGAGCTTCTGAAGACAATTACTTTTTAAATGAACAGTTACTGGTGAAAATATCTACACTGGAATACATTACTAGTCTTCTATAAAATTACACTATAAACCTGAAAGTGGTAAATACCTAAATTAGCAACATATTCTATAATTCAGATGTTGTAATAATTCAGAATAGTTAGCTCTGATTCTTGTGTGTTGCTTTTCTATGAGACTTTACTGAGTTGATGCACAAAGACTAACTTTATAAGGCTCACCCTTATCAGATGTATGTAACAGAACCCGGCTTTACGTTTCACTGCTTCCCTTCGGGAAGGCCTCTGGGAAGCTGTTATAAATTTTACATATGTATACCCATATATTTTAAAATTTTCTATTTTCCTCTCATTTTTATTATAATCTACTCCTTCTGGTGAAATGGTGATATATTTAAGAGAAACAACCACTATGAAATGAAAGCAGGTATATTAGGGATTTACAGCATTACAATGACAATAATGATGAACTTTCAAACATGCAAACCGATCAACAGAACACTAGTGATTCAGCTGACCTGCCATGACCCAAGGGGCAATAATCTACATTCTTTAAAAATGAACCTGTTTGGCACACTAGACAAAACAGGTCTAGATTTGGTTTTGGAAAATCCTATGCATTCTATAATGAAATGTTTGTGTTCTTTTTCATGGTTGCTTCCTTATTTAGTGATCAAAGTATGTTATTTACATGTATGAATATGCCAAAATAACCCACTGTTCTGTATAGTTAATATGTACTACTAATAGAGTTGACTTTGTCATGGACTCTATTTTGTATTTTATATAGTATTTCTCAATTTCTTCAAAAATTTCAGTTGATTATTTGAACATTAAGCTAAATCTATCTAGCACCAAGGAATCCTGAAAAAATAAGCCAGATTTAGGATATTAGTAATTCACAAATTTTTAAACATTTTAAGCACCTTACTAGTCTTGGTATAGATCTTACATAAAATTTCTTACTGGAACATGCTATTTTCAACTGTTTATCATGCTTCAAGGGGGCAGAATAACCTTTTTTTCTGAAGTTCTCAAAACATTTTTATTGTATTTATACACCAAGTGGTCACCATCAGAGTAGACTAAAGCAGATACAGGAAAACTATTTTTTCCAAACTAGTATACTTTGAACCAGACAACCATGTTTTGCTTGCCAAGGGAATTGTGAAAAACGGGGAGGGAGACAGGAAAAGAGAAAGAACTGTTAAGGTGTGGTTACCATTTTCATCATGACCACTGGCTTCTGGTGTACCCTGCCTCTGGTCCTCTTCAGGTGCCTCAGGATAAATGACAGCTGTGTCTTGTTGTTGCAAGAACTCTTCAACATTAGGATCATGGTTTTGCTCATTTTCTGCATCTGAGTCACATTCATCATCTTTTACTGAAAGAAATGAATTCCTTATAAATGGCAATTTTACCAAGTTGTTACAACATTTTTCTAAATAAGAAATTATCTTGAGAAAATACAAAATCATTTTTGAAATTGCAGAAAATATCTACTGAAGAGTAAAATGAATTTTATTCATTTTTTTGCAATCTATTAAGAAGTGCTCTTGCTTTTGGGGGAGGAGGGGTGGTACTGGGGATTGTGCCTGGGGCCTCTGCACTGAGCTTCACCTCTAATTATTTTATTTTATATTTTAATTTTTTATTTTGAGACAGGGGCCAGTGAACTGCTAAGTTGCCCAGCCTGGGCTTGAACTTGTGATTCTGCCTCAGCCTCACAGGGTGCTGGGATTCTAGGCCTGTGCCACTATGCCAAGCTCCTTTTGCTTTATAGATTTAAAATGTTATAAATGTTGGAAATTCCCACATTATCCTTTTTAATTATTATGATTATGCTTCTATTCCATGTGTCTGATAGATAAAATACAAAGTAATATGGTTGACTGAAATAATTATTCTTCTCTTAATGATAAAGCAAAGAAAAAAGAAAATGGTTCTCAAAGATCACATTCTTAGCAACCTATCAAAATATTATTTAAAGTTGTACTTTAAATCTGAATCATTCCCATGTGAACCAGTCTTTCAGTTGTTACGTGACTTCTCAGAAAATAACTTTAAATGATGTGTAGTTAGACTTCTAACAAAAAGATACCAAAATCACATAAATAAAAGTTGGTTTTCACTTCCTTTAGACTTTCTATACAAACAAGGCTATTCTTTCTCTATTTCTGCCTCGATGAGTGTCTAACCATGGGATTAAGGCCGGTATGTTTTTCTTGAGTTAGAAGGGGCTAGAGATAACAGATAACCCAATGTTTTTACTGTGGAAGGGCTGCCCAGTGAGCTGCCACATCCCTAAAGCAGTGCTGCTGCACTGTGGTTTCCCCATCTCCTCCACTGCCTCTAGGAGACGGTTGGCTACAAGCCGTGTTAACTGTAACAGGTGAACATGACTCCCAAGTGTCTCATGGCTGACTTCCTCACAGGCTTGAGACTGAACTGTCTCTAAATTAGTAAAATGGCACTTCCTGGTAGACTGAAACTGGGCCAAATTAAAATGGTGACATATGGGCAACTTTCTGTTTGACAGTTACTAAAACAATCTTGCTAAATCTCCTACACAGTAGTATAACGCAATTCCTCAGATGGCTGCTGTTTAAAATCTGAGAGTAACATTGGTTCATAAAGATTTCACCTTTTTAGTAACGCTTCTAAGCTATCATAGGCTGAAAAATGTATTATTATTATTTTTTTGGAACCAGGGATTGAACTTGGGTCCTTGCGCTTGCACAGCAGGCAGTGAAACCACTGAGCTAAATCCCTGGCCCCCGAAAAATGTATTTTTTAACTCATGCCAATAGTTATTAAATTGAACTGGGGTTACTGACTCTAGAAGTACATGAAGACTTTGAGAGGAGAGCTGCTAACCTCTGGTTTTAGGGACTCAATTCCCAGATCCTCAACTTCCATGTATACTTTTGGTGGCTTGAAGGTTCTTCTCTCTAGTCTCCCTTTTATATGGTATTCTTTGCTCTTGTTTTCTTAGGAAAAATACAGAAAGGCATATCCCTCCATTCATTTACTATATTAATTTGGTATACTGCCAGAGCGTGGAAGAAGAAAAGTTTAAAACAGTGACTGGGGAAAGTCTTCCTTATTGACCACTATAGGTCTTCCAGTCTTTCCTATTTACAAGCATTTCTATTAGGTGGAAAGCATGGCAACTGAAATGGGAGTAGTTTATTCCTAACTGGCAAGCTGAAATCAACTATATAATAATACGGACAAAAGTGAGGAAAATTTTCTTTAATGACCTCATGTGCTGTGCACCTCCCATTATTAAACAGCTCATTGCTCTTCAGGAGAATGATGAAAGGAAAGAAGAATGTATTGAAACATCATTCTAGGATCTATCATTAGCTGGAAAAATAAGCACTGTTGAATAGCTAACATAGTATATGTCAATGGCATTGAGTCTGCTCACTGCAAATTCAGTCTTTCAAATTAAACTAGATAGAACTCATGAATAAAATTTATATTTCATGTGATTTTTTATAGATTCCATATATTGTATTAAACAATTTTAATCAAAGTTTTATAAAAATTTTTTAAATTTAGTGATTTTCATCTTATAAAATGTTAATATTTTCTACATGAGTAACATATATGAAATATAGACATATATATACATGCACACACATATATGTGTGAGTAGCTTAACATACATATATATGTTAAGCTGCTGGAATAATGAGTTTTAAAATAGCATATACTTTTCAGAAATACATAATCTATTTCATACATGATACAATATTTGCTTCTTCAGTAGGTTATATATAAGGTTATCTGTGTAGTAACTGATTCCAAATACACACATTTGCAAAGATCTTTGCTTCACTACTGAGTAATTTGTTTTCATAAAATTTATTTACATTTTATATGTTTTAAATTTATAAGTTAGATATTACTCATTTCCTATTGAAGACATTTTAATAAAATTCCTTAAAATGTATACTAACAGCTTTATTTGACTGAAAAAATGAAGACACACTTTTTTTGCCTTACAAATAGAAAGTCTGATTTGACTAGTGTAGCAGTGATATCTGCCTTTGCTAGTTAGGCTATTAGGCTGAAATTTTCCAGGTATTAGGTGAAGTAAGGAATTGATCAAAAAATAGTGCAGGTAGGAAAACAGACGGATTTTTCAATAGAAAATGTATTGGAAAAGATACTAAAATTAACCATATTTCAATTTCTCCAACCAAAAACTTGCCTCTAGTTGAGGAGGAAACAAAAAAGCCGGAAAACAGGTATAATTAGTCCTTCGGTGAGGACAAGCCTTTCTGGTGTACATTCCAGAGAATGAGAGAGTGAACAGTTCTAATGACCAGCAAACATATCTACTTGCAAATAACGTGGCTTTGAATTTTTGTTTCAATAAAATTGAAGGAGTACTGAATTGTTAGCCATAGGGTATTAAAATATTTTTATTGATGAATAAAATCTAACTACTGGCATATAATTCTGAAGATGTACAGAAAATTGAGTAACTCAGTTATAACAAAAGTTTTTCATTTTGAAATTTGAGAAAATATAGTGCTAAACAAAAATAGAAACAATGTTAAACACTTTCCTTTTAGGAGTTAATATTAAGCTATTATATTAAGTAACTGAAAACTACTTTAGTTCATTTAATTTTCTTTTCAATAACAGTTTTCTTTAACAAATATTTACAAGTATGTGTAAATAATGTGATCAACTGTGATACATTCATACTTTAAACCTTAAGATTCTTGTGATCCCCGGAAATTAAAGAGAAATTTAAAATTTCACTTTATATATGTATGTTTCTTAGAATGAAATGTAAGTTGATCAAAAATACCTTCAAGTAAAAATTGCATACTGTTAGTATAAAATTCTATAGGGTATATAAATGGCAAACATTAAGTTCAAGGAGTAAACACTATCCTATCACATTTCTGACTCTGAGGTTATTCATCCTTTCAACAAATGAACGACAAAGTATTAAGTTGCTATGGATTTCACAGATGAGAGTGATGTTAAAACTGGCAATGTTTTTAATATGCTAGAAATTGTTACTGCTTAATATAAAATGAAAAATTTTATTTAAGAAGTTTGCAAGGCAGTGTAAGATCAGGTTACACACTATAAAATTTGGGTGACAATGACAGTAACTCCTAGCGTTGTTGTTGTGACTGAATTAATTAATGTAGTAACATGCTTATTATTACTGTGCTGGGCATGTACTAAGTGCTATATAATTGTTAGCTATTTTCCTTAAAATGGTCCTGCAAGGTGAACATCGTAATTTCACAATTGACATTTTTTCTCAATAAAAATTTGGGTTAGAAAAGTTAGCTTTTCCAAGATCATACGGGGAAAAAAGTAGTACTATTAGAGTAAACAATTTGTTATTAGGCATCTGGTATCAAATCCTGGGTTCTTTACATTAAACTACCCTGTATCCATGAACTCACATTTACCAAGCCCAATTTCAAGTGGAAACCTGAAGCTGTGCAGTTTTACCCCAAAATTTAACATGTTGGAAAGGGGACATCATGAAAAGGTCAATTACAAAGAAATTTCCTGGTCTTAAGACTAATAAACTTATTATATATTTAAGTATTAGAGAGATGGGCAAATACACAGAAATATGTATGATAATTTAGATTTCTTTCAGATAGGATGAGATTCAGAGCTGATTGTCAAAGTAGAGAATCATAACACTATAATCACTCATCAAAGTGTTGAACTGCAGGACTATAAATCACAAATGAGACAGCAAACATCTCATATAAAGACTAACATTTTTATTTAGCTGTCTATATATGTAAGTGTGTGTGTGTGTTTGGAAATATACTTCCGTGCGTGCTTCCTCCCTCCAATCTTTACTCTCCACTTTGTAAAACTGCTAACTGTATAAACAAAACGGGCTCAGAAGGAACAAAGAATGTTTTGGGTGAATATTTCACTCTCTGAATACTAAGCTCAGCCTACAATTCTCTTAACTTCATGAATAGCAAAAGGAAGTCGGCTACAGAAAAGATCTGACAAAGTTCTGAACTAATGATAGTGACCTTTGTACTATGTTTTGGTCAGCATGTTATTCCATAGAAGTCAAGGAAATAACAAAAGCGAAGGCAAAACCTAATTTTATAGTTTAACTGCTCAACCAAAGTTTTATCAAGTATCTGCTTGCTCTCTTTCCTCATGCCCCAGGGAAGTAAGGCAAAAGGGAGCATTTCCTTGTGGGGGTGGGGGAGGCCTTACATTTTAGTACAACTTCAGTGACAAAAGGTTACTCTGCCTTACAGATGTGATTTTTTTAGGGGAATTTATGTATTACTCAGTATCTCAAACTGAGTTTATTTTTACAACAACAAAACTATGAGATCAAATATTGTAACTTGGAATTATTGTTTTGATAGTTTTTTGCCTAGAAGGGCAAATGGTCTAAAACTCTGCTATTTATAAGCCATCAAAGTTTTAATATTAGATAAGAGTAAAAATAGCATTCTTTTGTGCTCATTAATATTACGGGTTTAATAACAAGTATCCAGTTTAAATATTTTATATCCTCTTTAGGTTGTATTTGATAACAAGTATACCTGAATATATTATTCATGCAGGTTACAAACAACCCAATTAAGGGAAGAAAATAAAATCTTAGGCTATAGCACCATAAATTATCACATACTCCACTGTTATTTTAGATTTCACCTTTAATCAACACAAAGATTCATTCTTTGAGCTGTGTAAATGACTGACAAGTATGAGAGTGCTAATATTTATACTAGAGATAAAACCTGTTTTTTGATACCCATTAACCATGAACCACTCATAGTAGTAAAAGATAATTAATAGTGAAAAGATAATTTACAAGGGTTATAAAATACTGCTTAAATATACTGTGAAGTAAAAAAAAAATCTATAAATGTTATTAAGTCATGGAAGAGAATGGATTAAACTTAATTAAAATATGATAGAAATATCTATGACTGAATATACAAAATATAACTATATTGCTTTCAAGTATAGTATTTTGAGGAAATGTTTTAATAATTTGTAATTCATCTTTCAAGTTTACATTTTAACAGTTCTGATTTAGGGACACCATAAAAAGTTTCTCGTACTATCTTATAGGAGATCTGATTTAAGATTTCCACTTACTCTTTTGCTTGTTAAACCTGATCTGAATCCATTACAGAGAAATAGCCTTATGTCTCAGGGAGTATGAACTTTTAGTCACCTAGAAGCAAATTTCCTTCTTTCTATAGTTCAACTTCATTTTGGCCTTTTCAATCACAGAAATCACAAGAAAAAAACTGATTCTTTTGTTTGTTGTGATATATTCCCTTAACTCATCGATATTCACAATTCTCATCTGGTTCAGAGATAACTCATGATATCTGCTTATATTTCTCTCTTCCGGGTTGTCTTATGAGCAAGTCAAAGCAAACCCTGATAACTATTAGTAACGAAACTCAAAATGGCTATTAGATGCATTTCTGTAACTGGTAAATTCTGTGATGTAAAATCAAATAATCATTCAAACACTTATTGTTTTAGATTATCAGCAGGTTATACTTGTTATTATAGAACGGAAAATTTGCTATATTAAACAAATCTGTAAATGTACATATATTTAAAGAATACTGTCTTCTAACTTTTAGTCTAGTGCCCTATCTGCCTTAGTACTTAAACATGTAAGGAGGGCAAGATGAAAGAAGAGGAACAGACTACATTCAGGACTTGTAAATGTAAAAACTGGCATCACAGAAGACTTCCTTCAAAGACTGTAACATAAGAGAAAATAGCAAGAGTACCTGTACACCCTGCTTCATCTGCCTGAGCTTCAGGCCCCAGGATTTCTGGTCCTTCCTTTCCTGCTGAAATCAAAGGACAAGGATTAAAAGATACATGTGTCACACATATTTTAACTTCTAGAAATCTGAAAGGGAAACTTTCAGTTCAGATTATATTTAATTTGGATTTTTTCTTTTATTTGTACAAGATACTGGGATTTCAGCAGTATTTTAGAAGATCTCTACTTAAAGGTAGTAGGGTTCTTTTTCATTTCCTTCTTTTCCAGAGCACAAATTTCTGAGTTGCAGGCACTGTTAGATGTTTTATAAAGTTATTTCTTAATCTTCATAACAATCTATCAGTTAAAGATGCAAAACAAAACTTGAAGCTTGGAAAAGTTAAATAGTGTGCTCATGGACACACAGCTGTTAGAGCAATGGAATTTGAATGCAGATCTGACTGACTACAAAGCCCGCTGCCGACTGTGCCTCTCCTTGCCTCCCTGGAGGACTAGGAAAGCAGAACAATGGATCAGGTAACCTCACTGTGTCCACAGGAGGCACTGTGCTAAGGCACTGTGCTCTTTTGATATTCAGTTCATTATTCTCATGACTGATACACAGTAATAACACTGATGGTGGTACTGATGAATATTTTAGATGTTTGTTATTTTCCCTTGTCACCTCAATGTTTATGAAGGGCTAAATACAGTATTCGACACAGAATAGATTTAGAGTAATTATTTCATATTACAAATAAATTCATGCTTTGTGGTAAGCAGAAATTATGTTTTGTATATTTGCATACTTTTTAACAGTTTATAAAGAACATTATTCATATACGAAAGAGTTAAAACTGCTCCTTTAACTACAGCAGAGTAATGTGTCATAATTGTGACTGGAATAGTCAAAATTTGTACTAAAACACAATATGGTTATGCGGACCCCCATCAATTAGCACCAAATATTTCAGTCAAAAATTCTGACTTAGGGGTCCCGAAGCGGTGGAGCAGTGAGTGCCAGCAACTCAGCCAGGACAACTGAGGACCACTGAGCTAAATCCCCAGCCCAAGCAGCCTATCCCTTATATTCTATCCAGGCTACATGCACATAGGGTGGGTGGCACACACACCCAGGGTGGGTCTTCCTATTATCCACACCCAGAATTGTGGACTAGCTCAGTAATCACACATGCTTGATCCTAGCATCACACACTCTAGATCCAGCCGCCTCTGAGAAGCCCCACCTATGACTGCATGAGGCTCTGGGGTACCCTAGACACAAGCCGTAACATCCCTTTCGAAATATGTAACATACCCTTACCATCACTAGGCTCTCTTGGCCTCTCCTATTTCCTCCTCACCATACCACGGAGCACAGGAATCAACACCTTCTCTCTTTTTTATCTACAAAAAAAGTTTTCTTTTTTCTTTTTCCTCTTCTCTTCCTCCGCCCTGGCATTACTTGGTCCTCAACCCTCTAGGCTTTAGATGACTGATTCTATAAAATTCCCATGCATGTTATTTTTCACCATTAGAGGAAACACAGCCATTTCATTTAGTGCATGTTAACTTTGAGTCAAGACTTGGCTTGTTCAGATGCTTACATAATAAGTGAAGACTTTTTTCTAGGCTAAAGGGAGACCCAACATAGGGTCTTATGTTAATTCTTTTTTAAAATTAAGTTTATTTGTACTATTTAGATATCCATAATGATCGCATTCATTGGAGGGACTTTCTACCCGTACATGATATATTTTGATTTCTTTTCCCATTCCCCTCCCCTCCCTTTACCCCCTCGTCCCTTCCTTATTTACAAATCTTTGTTTTCATTTTATCCTTCCTTTCTCTTTTTTTTATCTTTTCCTTTCCTTACTTTCCCTCTCCTCCCTCCTTGGTTCTTTCCTTTTGAACAATGTCTTCCTATTGCACAGTATCTATTATACAGTTTGTTACTCTCGCCAGAGAGACAATGCAATATTTACATGTGTGTCTGATTTATTTCACTTAAGAGTGTGGTCTCAAGGTGTATCCATTTACCTAGAAATGTCTCAAGTTTATCTTTCCTTATGGCTAAGTAGTACTTCATTGCGTAAAAAAACAAAAACCACATCTTTTTTTATCCACTCATCAGTTGATGGGCATTTGGGTTGTTTCCAAGATTTAGTTACTATAATCTCTGCTGCTATAAACATGGGTTCACATATATCGCTGTGGCATGATGCTTTTAATTCTTTTAGGAAGATACCCAGAAGGGGAATACCTGGGTCAAATGGGACTTCTAATTCTAGTTTTTTGAGGAATCTCCACACTGATTTCCACAGTGGTTGCACCAGTCTACACTCCCACCGACAGTGGAGAAGGGTTCTTTTTTTCCCCATAGCTCCACCAGCATTTGTTGTTAATTGATTTCTTGATAGCCATTCTTTCTGGAGTGAGGTGGAATCTCAGCATTGTTTTAATCTGTATCTTTTGAATGGCCAGTGATGTTGAACATGTTTTAATATATTTATTTGCCTTTTGTACTTTTTCATCTGAGAGTATGAATTCATCTCAGATGTCCATTTTTTGATTGGGTCTTTAAACTTGGGGAGTCTGATTTTTTTCAATTCTTTATGTGTTCTAGATATTAGTCTTTTGTCTGAGGAACAACTGGCTAAAATTTTTTCCCCACTCTGTGGCTTATCTATTCACTCTGTTGTTGGTTTCTCTTGCTGTGGAAAAGCTTTTCAGTAAGATGAGGTCCCAGTTGTTGATTCTTTGTACTATTTCCCATGCTATTGGGGTTTTGTTCATAAAGTCCTGTCCTATACCTATGTCTTCAAGAGTTCTACTTATTCTCTCCTCCAACAGATTTAGTGTTTATTTTAATATTTAGATCTTTGATCCATTTTTTAGTTTAGTGCATGGTGAGAGATAGGGGTCTAGTTTAGTCTTTGGCATAAGGAAAGCCAGTTTTTTCAGCACCATTTATTAAAGAGGCTATCTTTCTTCCAGTGAATGTGAGTATGCTTGGGGTTGCTTCTGCATCTTCTAATCTGTTCCATTGATCCTCAGGTCTTTTTTTTTTTTTTCCTCCAGTACCAGGCTGTTTTTAATCACAGTAGCTCCATAGTATAATTTCAAGTCAGGGATTGTGATGCCCCTGCCTTGGCTTTGTTGCCCAGAATTGTTTTTGCTATTCTAGGTCTCTTCTGGTTCCAAATGAATTTTAGAATTGTTTTCTCTAATTCTGTGAGGTATGCTAATGGTAATTTGGGATTGCATTTAATCTGTGTAACAATTTTGTGAGTAAGGCCATTTTCACTATGTTGGCTCTTTCTACCTAAGAGCAAGGGATATCTTTCCATTTTCTGATACAGTACTATAATTTTCAATGTATATATTCAATGTATTTTCAGTGTATAATTTTTAATCTGTTACTAAGTATTTTATTGTTTTGCATGCTATTATGAAAGGTGTTATTTTCCTAATTTCTCTCTCAGTAAGCTTGTGTATAGGAATGCGATTGATTTGAGTGTTGACTTTGTATCCAGCTACTCCACTAAATTTGGTTGTGAAGTCTACAAGTCTTTTGGTGGAGTTTTTGAGTCTTCTATGTAGAGTACCATGTCATCTGCAAATACTGACAGTTTCACTTCTTCTTTTCCTATCTTTATTCTTCTCTAATTGCTTTGGCTGATGTTTCTGGAACTGTGCTGGATAGGAGTGGTGACAGTATACATCCTTGACACACAAACAGCCAATAGCAAACTAAATAGTCAAAATTATGTTATTCCTCAACCAGGTCTGATAGATATCGCTGTAATGGATCAACCTGTCACTGCTATAGCTGATTTGACTGCACAGGAATACTCCTGACACAGTGGACAATTTCGTGCCAGTGAACCTGTCTGCGAAGTCCACCATCACACTCAGGGAGAGGGACAGCAAGAGGTCCTCACCCAGGAACTCGGCCTGGAACAGACGCTGCAAGAATGCCTGCAGCCTGGCAGAAAGAGGTCCTGAGTCTGAGTTGGCTTCAGTACTGCGCCAGAGGGATGAAGAGTTACTGAGGTGTGAGAACTCAGACTCTGGCAAAGAAGCTACTTGGGAATCACACATGCAGTGTTTCATTAGAACATTTAATGTGTGTTCTCATTGGAGATCTTATAGGCTTACGTTTTGTCTTTCTTGATTTATTTAGCAGGGTGGGGCTATGTCATGTTCTTTTATGATTCCCTGTGCTTTGTGTATCTGTTCTTTCACTGGCCCTGACTTAATGGGTGTCCAGGTTCTCTCCCTGATCTCAGATCCCTATCTAGTTTCTTCACCTCAAAGCCCGAGACAATATTACTGATATATTTTTAAATTCTTTTTCTAAACACGTAAACTCCTCCTCCCGAGTCTTTAAATGCCTCATCCTTAGCTCCATTACAGTCACTCGTGTCCTAGTATTCGTCTGTCTTGATCCTCTGCATCCGAAGCCTCGGGCTCCTCCATGTCTTCCCTAATGTAGTGTCCTCCCTATCAGCCGGTTCTGACAGCGCACAGCTTTCCTCAACCACAAAGGAAACCCCTTCTCCCGGTACCTTACCCTTGGTCCCACAAACTACCCTCTGAAATCTCTCAGTGCTAACCCTAACTCAACTAAAAGTGCTCCCTTCAATCAGACCCCACACCCACCTTTTCTTTAAACTCCCCCTTACTGTCTAACACTCCTCATCCAACCACCGAATTACTTAAAGTAAATGACAGGAGTAAATACTAGCACTGGACACACAAAGCTGAAAATTACCCATGGGGAGGCAACGACCTACTAAAACTTTCCAAATAAGCCACATACTCTCAATTCTCTAGTCCCCAACCTGCAGCAACCCTCCCCAAAAAGGAGGGGAAAAAGAGGGGGCCATAGATAATTAAAAAAAAAATACACACACACACACACACACACACACACAGGAGAATGGGGAAATAGAAGATCTCTGAACCCCACCCCCAACTCTCCCAAGGCAGAGCAATGGGTCAGAAATCCATAAAAAGCTCTTAGATGAAAATAGATGAATTTAAAGAGGAAATGAACAAAAATTCATAGCAATTTCACTA